CTCTCTCTCTCTCTCTCTCTCTCTCTCTCTCTCTCTCTCTCTCTCTCTCTTTGTATTTTGTGTTTATTATTAAATTCTTTATCTTCTTGCAGGTCAGCCTCGTTAGACGTAGAACCACTTTACACATTTAGATCACACACTGGTCCTGTATTGTGTCTGGCCATGTGCAGTATGGGCAATCGATGTTACAGCGGTGGTTTAGACGGCAATATCCATTGCTGGACACTTCCATCAGCTAACATTGATCCATACGACTCGTATGAACCAAGTGTCCTTAGTCATACGTTAACAGGACACACGAACGCTGTTTGGGGCTTGAGCATGTATTTTCGTACCATGCTGTCGTTTAGCGCAGATGGAACTGTAAAATTGTGGGCCCCACAGACCCCACAACCTCTTCTCAATACGTATGTTTCAGAACAAGGTATGCAAACGTTATCTAACGATTCAAGTACAATGCGCTATTAGATTATCATTAACAAGTAGCAAATTGTATTTTTAAATTATGTTAAATTATAATAACGGAACCTGCGTCTCGAATTTGCAGTCTTATTTAGCAAATATTGATCCAATATAAGTTTCTCTTATACATTTTTAAGTGATTATTTATCATAATAGTTTTCTTTTTCTTTTTTTTTTGTAGACGGCATACCGACTTCGGTTGATTTTATCAGGGACGACCCGCACAAGCTGGTCGTAGCTTATGAAGGAGCTTGCGTGGTATTTGACACTGAAACCGGTGCGATCGTGGCGCGACTCGAGGCGAACGAGACAAAAGGTGTGAATCGCGTAGTAGCACATCCTACGTTACCGCTTGTTGTGGCCGCACACGAGGATCGGCACATTCGATTTTACGATCACCGGTCGGCTACTCTTGCTCACGCAATGGTAGCGCATTTGGACGCAGTTACTAGTCTCGCTGTAGATCCTCATGGTTTATATTTACTTTCAGGAAGTAAGTAAGAGAGAAAACTTACTACGATTAATTTTATCGCGATAATTTCGTAGCACGAAATTATCAGTTAAGGCTAAAAAAATAAACATTTCAATGTACTTATTTATTGTCGCGTAGGTCACGATTGCAGTATAAGATTGTGGAACATGGACAACAAGACTTGTGTTCAAGAAATAACAGCACATCGGAAGAAATTCGACGAAAGCATTCTGGACGTAGCGTTCCATCCATCACGACCGTTTATAGCGAGCGCCGGCGCCGACGCTCTCGCTAAAGTATTTGTGTGAAATGTGTAAAATTCAAAAGATGTACACACTCGTTACATCAAAATAATTTCTACTATTACATCAAATCGAGCAGTTTTTGTACTCGTATTCATTTTAGGTAGCCTTATATAACTTTATGTGTCCACACCGTACATATGAAACACACACACACACACATAAACACACATATACACATACTTCCGATATGTTTCTGTTGTAACTCTGATTGTTCTACCATTTTTGAGGTACCGATTTATAAAGAAATCAAATCGCTCGTGTAGTTATTCATAAAGGAAATGAAAAAATTATCAATAACTCTTGTCTGTGACACAGTTATGGGAGAAAAATAATTTTAAATGATATATAAACGCTGCTTGTTGATGTTCAATCATCATTAAGTAGCTAATAACTATTTGGAATAGCGGGGAGGGGTATCATGTAGAATATTAGCCGATATAGTCCTGATAATTAGAGGAACCAGCCCCTTACCCACAGAATCCAGGAAGTACACTGCCGCGGTAGCGTAATATTTATCCTTACGTTAACTATTTATTACAAATATCGCCGTTACTGTTGCACAGCTACTGGGGATTAATACAATCGTAATAATCGACTATACAGTTGCCCTAAATGAATAAAAAAAAAATATATATATATGCATAATTAGTCTCCCATTACACAATTTTTTCCTGCTGCCTTATATATTCATCGAGGCTAGCACATAGTAATAATAATGATAATAATAATAATCGTAAGCTAAATAGACGTAATATTAATAACAATAAATTATAATTGTGTGTTTCTCTCTCTGTAATATATTGTATTTAAAAATAGATAACTGTGTAACGTATTATAATGAACATTTTTTTATTAAAATCTCATTCCACATTATTTTCTTATTTTACATTCCCAGACATATCTGAATCGTCCTAAAACCTTCTCTTTCGTAAGCGAGCGAACCCATTTTTCCTTTACCGTGGTAAATAAACTGGGTCGTTACAACGAGAACGATCGATCATGCTTCTCGAGCGAGAAAAATTCGTGCGATATGATCTTATTTTTTTCACGCAGAATGGCACGTGAGTCATGAAATGGGGCGCGTCTTTCTTTAATATTATATTAGGGTGAAGAAGATAATCCTTTTTTTTTACAAATGGTTTTCTTTGACAGATGGGCGCAAAATTAACTGGAAATTTGTAGAATTGTTCTTGCGTCCTTCTCGGAACATTTCACCTCTCCATTTCGCGTACAATATCATCTCGTAGCGAACGTATCGCGATTACTGCTGTTTCAGAAAGAGAGAGACAGAGAGAGAAGCGCTCTCCCATTCAGATTTCAGACACGATCGCGCTAATCAGCTGAAGAACAGGATCAGCCATAGACCGCGGGCGATCTCGTGATTCCCCGTGATCCGATCGAACCGAGGACACAAATCAACTGAAAGCTGTCGATGATCTCGAGAGAAATGATGATCTTTCCCGTAGACGCGTGCACGCCGTGTCAGGCATGAAAGCTGGGTGCTTACTTCAACTTCCCCGAGTGATTCGTTGTTCCACGCGTCTCGTAAGTGGTTAAATCCTTTCAGCAATCTCGTTTCCCCGTTTACTCGCACGGAGGAGGCTCGGGGGAAGATGAGATCAACGGAACGACATGAATTTCTTGACGAGGTATCGACAATCGAAAAATAAAATCGTCTAATCCGTCAAATCTTCAGACAGGTTATGTGAGACTCGTGCGAGTTGATCACCCGGAGACACGCAATCCAAGACGTGTATCGACGAATTATGATACGACTCAGTCCTTCATGAGCATCCTGGTGGCCTAACGATGGAACGAAACGGTGCCAGGGAGATGGAAGAACGCCGATGCATTCGGGATACTGGAAGGGCCCTTAAGAAGTACGGAAGCACAGCCAAGCACATAACGCGAACCGAGAGCTTGATGAAGCACACAGTGTGCCCTACGGACACCCTCCAAGGAATAGCTCTTAAATATGGAGTTACGGTACGGTTTATTCACATGCATTGTCCTCTCATTTATTCGTCTCAATATATTGCGCTCGCTAGCTACAATAATGACACAATTCTAAAACTATGTATCATTATTTAGTTGTTCGCAGAAAAAGAATGGAAACGTTTCCCGTAGACGCGTGCACGCTGTGCCAGGCATGAAGAATAAATGTATTTGGAAGGAACAGTTTATTTCAGTCGTTATATTAAAACTGCAAAATTTTAATGATTTAGAATATTGAAATTTTCTTTAATATTTGATACAGTTTTGTTGAATAATTTAATTTTTTTAGTTGTGTCATTGTTGTAGCAAATGAAAAATGTGTTATTTTATAAAAGCATCCCATGGAAAGTAAAGTTAAAGACACTTAATATTTTTAAGACTTCCAGCTACGTGATTCACGAGTTATCTCTGTGCCCATATCTATTCTTAGAATGTCAACATTAAAGATACTTGTAATAAATCTCATAACAATTACATCACTTGCATTAGGCTATTATACATGAAATTAACAAATTTAAATGTGAAAGCATATAAACATTTTAAATGATTTAATACCTAATAATGATATTGTTACATTTAACAGAATATATGTATCTTAGTTCATTGTCAAAATTTAGTAAATTATATTGCATTTTAATCCTTAATATAAATCTACTTTGATAGAAATTGGCATTTCTCTTCTTATTTGTGTTTAAACACTTGTTGTCAATCTATTTCACTTAATGTACTTTATATAAGGCAGCTTTCAATGTGTATATTCTAAAAAATAATGGTATAAACTTAATATCATGTGGTGTCTTTAATAATTGTATCACTGTTAAATTAACATCAACATGGTGTTAATTTCACACCATGATATAAATACCAAGAATTTTAAATCCACACTATATATTGGTGTTGACATCAATAAAGTAAGAATAGAGGATGGTACAAAGGGGTGGTGAGGTGCACTTGCATTCTCTTGGCTCTTACGAAATAAGTAAGAAGAAGAAAATCCACAAGAACAAAGGAAGTCGCGTAATACAAACTATAATTTTTTTAATTAAACAGAACTCAATGCATAAATATTAATTAACATTTGTAATAAAACTAAAAAGGAAAAAGAAAATCCATTTTTAAAAAAATGTACGTTGGAACAAAATCTTGAGTTGTCTTGGTTGCTGTTCAAATGTGTGTCCATCCCATTGTTAATAAATTCATCTTGTCTCAATTCGCGCTTGAATTTGAATTTTTTTGCATCCACCTACAAGTAATTCTACTGGCGCCTATAAACACCGCATAAGTGTTAAATCGACACTGACATTTTTTTTTAAACTACTAATATAGTATAGCGCAAATAATCAAATTCATCATTACTGAAATGATTATATTAAGGATTATAATAAAAATAGCACAAAGTTTATATTACTTCCTTCTTACCTTCCATAATTCTATTGAGCTTTAAATTTCATTGAGAAGTAAAATATTTAGGAAAATTTTTTTATATTACACAGATATATATTACAGTTTTTATTTTATTGATTCGTTTGAAGATAATATTTCAATCAAACACTTTATTTGCTCCAAGCAGAAAATATTATATCTAGTGTAAGATTAATTAATTTTTTAATTTTTTTACAGACAGAACAAATTAGAAGGATCAATAGATTATGGGCATCGGATAGTTTATTTTTACGGGAACATTTGCTTATTCCTGTCAGTGCAGACAGTCCTGCCTCTATGTGTAATGACGAATCGATAGCTTCTGAGGAGCATGATGTCCCTCCAAGTGTGAGTAAAATTTGGAATCATTGATGAATGTCACTCTTTATCTATTGATATATATGCCTATGAATATATTGTATTTTGTAGATATCTAGTCCTTCTTCGATATCGTCATCTATTGACGATGAAGGTTCAGTTAATGATTTCTTAGCTAAGATGGATACCTCGATAGCCAATGTCAAGAGAGATGTCAAACGCACTCAAGGGAACAGTGAGTAAGTTATTTCCTATATCTTATATGCATTCGATGAAAATTACACATTTTTTAACAATAATTTATACAAAAAGTGATGACTTAATAAAAATATTAAAAGCTTATAGAAATTAAAAAGTTCTCTCGAAGATCGGTATTCACAGTCAGTTTTTATATTTTTTCTTATATTAAGACTATCTTAAGTCTTAAGATGTAATAAATCAATCACAGTATTCACAGTTCGTTTTTAAAACCGTCATATAATTAATGTATTAAAGTATTAACTCTTTGGATGGTATTTATAGTTCATTCTTATTTTAAAATCGTCTTAAGTAATATCTTAAATTGCTAATATAGCCTTCTAATTGATTTGCTGATGATATCTTAAGACTGTATGTAAAACGATCTTAAATATAAGAATCGACTATGAATACAGGTTATTAAATTACAAATAATATTTTTATGTTTATAAATTAATTAAAATAAAAATTGAAAATTTTTACAGATTTTGCACTGACGGCAATGACGTTCACGTACAACGACGGCGAGGGTCTGCTAAATTGCGAAATTCATTTCCCACCACATCGAATACTTACTCAACGTCCTCCTCTGACTCCACCAGACCAGTGTCCTCTAGTGATATGCATAACTTTCCAACTGCTGTAGTTATGACGCAAGGAAGAAGAGTAAAGACTTCCTTGCAAAGACTCGAGCAGCAGCAAGATGAGATGTTCCAGTTGTAGCGTCTAAGTTTCATTGGGCTGTAATATCCTGTGTGTTGATTGTTATTAAAAAGCTTGTAGGAAAGGATGTACTGTATATCAATGCGCGAATAGGAGGTTGCTTTTTATGTCTGATGTTGATCCAATATTACATATATAGTTAAATTTAATTAAGAGGTTACACCACTTTGAACCATGAAAAAATAAGCTATTTTTGGAAATTTTTTTTTGTGAAAATGATCAAGTGAATTAAAAATCTATAAATAGATGCTTATAATATATGCATTGAAGTACAGGACAATTTTTTTTTAATTTTTTCGAGGAAAATGCCCATTCGGCGTACACAGTTATGACGAAACAGTTTGACTTTGAACAAAAATCCAAGTATTTTTATTTTCTACATGACATTTACTAAAGAAGTACGTAGGGGTTTTCAGAAATATGCTTTTTTGTAAAAATGGTGAATATTTAAAAAGAATCATTTTTGGCTAAAAAAAATTTGAACAGAAATGTCAATAACAATATAATAGTTTTCAACTAAACACAACATCGTTACATACTTTTTTAGATAACTAACAAAAGAAGACTTTGCAAATTCAAGTAAATTATTGTAAATAAAAATTGTATAAGTTACGATGAACGCCGATTTGAAAAATGTTCTGAGAAAAACGCGTTTAAAGTTTTCCGATAATGAGTTGATAATGGGATGCATTTCAAAGAATCAGCTGTATCATTGTATAATACGTCAAATATTTCATTCTAATTAGTAGGTTTATATTTTCACATGTATAAACTGTCATTTAAGCAAAAAAATTTTTTTCGATTTTTTCAAAATTTCAAGGTGGTTTGACTCCTTAAATTACATTGCGCTCTCTTTTACGTCGAAAGATCATTCGCGTATCCTGTAGTTTAAGCATTATTCTTATATAATGATTGCACTATCGTCATATTTCGATTTTACGACTTCGTCGTAATTATATGATAATGAATGGATCAACTAACTTTTATATATACGTAGCGCTGAACTGTTTTACATAACATTGCTTAGTGGACCATATGTGCCTTGAATATAAAACTGCGTTATGTAAGGATCCTATTCATGCTCCATTTTTGTCTAAGTTACGTACAAATTTATATATTTCTTTTCGAATACTCTTTACATTTTTTTTTCGTTTAAACTGTGATGAACCATCTAAAAATTTGACAAAAACCAAAAACAAATTTAAAAAAAATAGTTATTATGTAGTAAAAATAAATAGTGCAAATATGAACAAAATTTAGAATCTACTTATCTGAAACGCGATTTATTAAATTAATTGTTACACTTGTTAATAATTTTATTTTTCTTTTAGCAAACTATATTATAAACATTTTTTTCAGAAGTGATACAAAATATATCATGTATACAATATTTTTCTAATATTAAATATATATAAATGTTGTCATTGTTTACAAGAATCTTAATGAAAATGATCATATCTAAAATTAAAGAAAAGGACAAAATGCACCTGATATTATGAAAACACGGATTAATTCTTTCAATTTATTCTTAGCTGGACTAAGCTGGCTTTCTGTGACTAATATTAAATTCATTGAAGTGTGATATTACTAGAGCACATTTTAAGGAACATCTAATAAATTTGAATGTTTGTTATCATCATAAAAAGTCACAAAGACTCAAAAAAATTAAAAAAATTTTAAGTAATGCTATAAATATTATTTATTTTTTAAAATGTCGCAAAGCGATGATTAAAACTAGAAATAAATAATTTAATTTATATAATAACACATCCATCTAAACACAGCTACACATTGATATACATTGTACATCAAATCTATATATTCAAATTTTATACATAATCTAAAAAATCCTGTATTTTACACTGTACATACAGTAAATAGCACTGATTGACAATGTTGTCTGTAACTAATATATCATGCAATACTGTTGCAATGGAAAAAATATATTAAAATGTTATGTAAATTGAGATCTCTAATGCATCTTTGCCAATATATATATGTATACATATACATATAACAATATACATAAGTTGGAAAAGCTGTAACTAAATGTAAATATGAATTAAATAAAAAAGATAAAAGGATCTAAGTAAAAGTTAAGATATAAAAATTTATATGTGACTACTAGATTGTATTATTATTCATCACATAAACATAGTAAAAATAAATTTCTATATTATTCAAAACGAAATAAGTCATTACAATATTTATATAATAGAAGAAAAACGATTTCTGCAAAAATATATTTTTACGATTTCATAAGCGCTATTTATGAAGGTAATTCTTACAAATATATATTTTAATTTGTACACATAAAACAGGAAATGTATACATAGACAAAAAGTTCTGTCTTTGCTTATTATCTTAAACTTTCACATAATATATCTACTTTAGAGTTAACTATCCTTATGGGTGGCCTCACATATTTGTCGCAGCAACATTTGAGCTCGTTCACAAAGTTGAAAGATCCTAAACGACTATTGCAGTATGGACAATGTAATTTTCCCTTTGTCCAAGATTCCTTAAAAAATAATTATCTTAATTTATATTTTATATATACATATATTTTTAAAATCTTGATAAAGAAAGTATATATATATACTTGATTGATAGCATTCATAATCCAATCTGGTGCATTCTCGGGAATCATATATGAGCAGCAATCGGATTCATCTGCTTGGCATCCTACGTCCGTTGTTTGTTGTTTTAGCTCATGATGCATATTAAACAAGATAGAGTCACCCTTAAAGAGCGATTTACAGCAATGCTTGCATCTTACTTCCATAATATAAAAGTAGCGATACAAATATCTGAGGAATTATTATCGATTTCATTGGAACAAATTGAGGAGAATGTCATAAAATGTCAGATAAAAATAAAAAAATAAAAGCTATAAAAAGACTGACAGTTACTAACCAAAGTTCATAGAGTATTAATAGCTTCGTTATATATAATTATTAGTTGTTTTTCATTTACACCGATTTTCAGATAATTCTCACTGACGTCATAACTCGGTTGAATGCGCATTCCTTTTGCATTCTGACAAGTAAGATTCAACTGACGTTTTTACCTACAAACTGCAGAAGATCTCAGATCATGTGCTTTACTGAGCCTCGTAGAGTACTCACTTCAAAATTGAGGTTATGAACCTGTGTTAGTATTTGTCAATAAGCAAGTAGTGACGTCATTAATCTGAGTATTTCATTTCTAAATGTCTAACTATAAATGTCTAAAAAGTAGTAAACTAATTTAAACACAAGTTTAAAAGAACTTTATAGAATCCAGAAATTTCCATAAAAATTCTGAAAAATTATATGAAATATTCTGAAAAGATTCTAACACACACACACACACACAAATTAGAGTAAGGATTATAAGAAACATAAAATGTAAATTAAACTGAGATTAAAGTTAATTCTATATTGATAGAAATAATTGTTACAATATATATCTTAAACTTATAAATACAAGATAATTTAATAATCAAAACGACATATATGTTCACAGATATTGTTTGCACATGTTTAGCTAATGGATACGTTCAATCCTCGCCGGCTGGTATTGCGTCTTCTAATCTTTTAACAAATTTCACACGCAGTTCAGTCAAATTGTCGTTTTTAAGCTGATCCTGAACAAACCAGCAGGCGATCTCCATTTGCACCATTTCACAAGCTCCTCTGAGCACGCCAGGCAACATATTACAATACTTGAGATTTGAATAATTATCTGGTAATTCCACGAATTCCGTTAGCGGATTCGTCTCAAAGCACAGGGAGAATTCATCACCGGCTGGGCTCCAATTTGTAATTGACGGTGTTATACCAAGGAATATCTTGAAGCCACTCTGAATCTTCTCTGCCGTGTCCTTGAAATCATAGCATCGACCGGAACCAGTCCGTGCAAGAAAATCCTCTATCAGCCGTATTCCAATGTTGTATCCCATTCTTTCCAGCTGCTTGTTAACGTCTTCCACGTTTTCATAATCCTGGAGCAACTGAGCCACAATTGAACCATAAGTCAGGGTGAACAATTCAGAGTTCTGTAACAAATAAAAAAATGATAATTGCAAAGAATTTAAAAAAATTAAAAGTTCTGTCTATAATATTTCATTAAAAATGAAATAAAAGAAAATTAGGTCTAACAGAAATTAATACTGATAATAAAACACTTATATTTCTTCTGGAAAAATAATATTTAATTCTAAGCCAATAAAGTAATGTTTCTGATCATTGCAACTTGAATTTTAGACCAATAAGAATTAAAACACAAATGTATATACTTTAAAATTATATAATTATATTCACTAACCATTTAAACTTAATAATGTTAAATTGTTGCAATTTCTCCGATATGATAATTATTACTGATTCTTAAGGGATTATTAATCAGAATTAAGAAAATCTAATGATTAACACTATTTTGTTTAACATTTATTTACTTCTACTATTTAAATATATCGTACATATAAATGTATTATATATAAATGTTAAAAATTTTGATATTTTTTTCTAAAGTCAATAGATGGAATGAGACCATAATAAGACAAGATAGAAACAGATTCTTGATATTATTGTGATAAATATTGTGTGTTTAATTCGTAACTTTAGAGTAGCTTATATATAAAAAGATACACATAGCTAGCATCTTGAGATTTCAAGATGAGCATAATATGCAATAGAAAAAAAAGATTTTGAAATTTTAAGATAAGAATAACCTGATATCACACACACAATCTTAAAAAAAAAAAAGATAAAAACGTAAATCAATTTAATCCTTTATATATTGTAGCAAATACATGATTATAACCTGGAGCCTTTCGATACTAATTTCGCATTCGAAACGAGTCAAAACTAGTTTTCGAGCAGATTATTAACAGCGAAGCGAATATTACTTAAATAGGTATTTCATTCAAAATAGCGCGATACTTACCACTTTCTTTGCATCGAGTTTCGTTCCAGTTCGTGACATGTTAACAATTGATAATCTTTTTGCCTCAGCGGCTGTCAGTCATGTCAGTGGCTCATTGCCAATCGTATATCATGACCATGGTGTAATAAGAAAGGTGAAGCATAATGGCGGTCGCTCAATATTTCAACCAATCAGATGTGTGCCTAAATGCAAAGCGCCAATTTTAAATTACTAGATAGATGCACGCTATTTAGCTTTTAATTTCTTATCTTTTAGTGTATTTGTTTAAATGTTTGAATGCGTACAATTAATAATGTATTGTTACTATTATACTGTCAAAATACACGGCACGGCAGCCGCTCACGAAGTTAGCTCAACGAGAGAATCAATCGACGGAAACGCCAATTACTTCGACATATTCGATATATTTTTTACACGACTTTTCTTAGAAAAGATATACAATAAAATATACAAAATATATAAAATACTAGACATTTATATTATATTAGTAGTATAATAATCTGTATATGACAATATATATTTATAAATAATAAATTTTATATATATGTTTTCCAAGAAAATTTCCAAGAAAACTAATAAATTTATTCGCATCGACAATAACAAAAGTACTAAAAGTAATAAACATATTTGTCCTTACCTTGTCACTATCCTCTAACCTCAACCTGTGCTACACTACACCATCTCACCATCTTACTACGCGCAAAGACCCCTCCAGTCATTCCCCCCACTACAATAATTTTGAATTTAGGCACACATCTGATTGGCTTGCCACTGCGCATCTTATAATTGCTTCACCTTTCTTATTACACCATGATCATGACCTAATCTAATGCTGGATTCACACTGCACTGCATCTGACGTGCGTCGTACATAAAACGCTCTGCAATAGTAGGCTTGTTCTTTTTGCCTGCACTGTCTGCACCAGTTCAGACAGTGCAATAAGTTGAAGTGAAACAAACGTATATCTGTTTTACTTCAACTTATTGCACTGTGGGCACAGTGCAGAGAAAAAGAACAGGCCTAGTGCAATGGCCTGCGTTCAGGCGGTCGATTCTGTATCTCGAAACAAAATGAAAATTACAAAAGTGAGCAAATTTACTAGGTATTGACCAATGAAATTATAAATGTTCTAGAAAATTCGCTCACTTTTGCAATTTTCACCTTGTTTCATGATACAGAATCGATCCCCAGTAGAGAAAGCAGCTTTGATTAGTCTTTACCTTACTTCTTCATTAGCTCTAAATGTATAAGCTAATGGTTGCGTTCAGCATACTCAACTGTTGCGGAACGGATTCGTAAGTACTCATTGCTATTGGTATATTCTTTTATAGCTCTAGCACACTGGACGCGGAGGCGGAAACGCTTGCCGCGCGGCAAGCCAATAAGAGATGAAAAGTAAAAATTTTTACCATTGGGCTGCGATCCATTTGATACGAATGCTTCGAAGTATTTTTTGATTGGATAATTAAGTATAATTCTTTCTTCTGATTGGTCAGTCAAAAGCTTCCAAGCGTAACACCAAGTGGACCGCATCATGAAGCGAATGGAAAAATTTTTAATTTTTCTTCATTCTAGGGAATAAGTTTCATGATCGATGATACCTAGAATTCAATTAGGCTAGGGAGTTTTTTGAAATGCATCATTTGAGTACCACTGTTTGGTCGGTTAGAGAAATCGATCCGATGGCGTGGTCTGGCTTTGTCGTAAACACTTTTGAGTGATAAAATTCCTTCTCTTTTTATATATTGCGGATAATGTAAATTATGATAATGATAAATACGAAAAATATTTTTAATTTTACATTCGTATACGTATAAAACGATTTACTTGCAGTAACAATAAAAAATAAAACATCTATATACATATAAAAAATAAAACATACGTGTGTGTATTCGTGTTTTGTAGGATATTACAGATTTTTTTTTCAAAAAGTACTTTTAATCTTAGCTTTGTTGCAAGTGCTGCTTATTAGAAAATATAGAAAAAAGAAAAAGAATGTCGACCCGTAAATCAGGTGTGTGGTGTGTTGTAAAAACGTGTAATAATATTACGGAGAAAAGACACTTCTTTACGTTTCCAAAGGAATACGACAGGTATACCATATATGTATATATTAATTATTTTTTAAAGCATATATAAGTCAGTTAATTGTTATTTTCTATATTTATAATTTTATGTTAAAAAAAATATAAATTATGTATAGTTTAAATTTTTTAATCTACTTACATATGTACAGTGTAGTGCACTAAAGTTTGATGTTTATTCTACATTGTAAGTATATACCAAAATATAAGGTTTTTTCTTTCCCATCTGAATAAGTATGAATTGTAAAACACAAAGTAAAATAGTGAAAATAAAAAAATCTCAAATTTAATATAATAGAAATAACATATATGTATAAAAGTGCTAAAGTATTAAATTGATTATTTAACAAAATGTTAATTTCTAAACAGAAAGTTATTCCATAATTTTCATATATTACATTTATTACAATATTGTCTTCAACTTTTATCCGTGACTTAATAAACAACATTTTTTTTAAATCTAATTCCTGAAATAACATCAATAGGACGGTAGCCTTTTTAGTACAATATTGATGAGTAACACATTTAATAATAAAATTATAATACATATTTTGTTATCTATATAAAAAAATGAACTAATGTAATTCTATTAGTAACTATTGTTATCTTATAAATCCTTTGTTAGCTATTGTATATGTGTTATATTTTTTATTTCAACAACTTTCTATAAAACTTATAGATGGTTAAAATGGATATATGCATGCGGAAGAGTTGACTTAAAAGTCATGGGTCCAGAATATGCTCATCGCAACTATCGACTGTGTCACTTACATTTTGAAGAAAAGTGGTACAAAATAAGCAAGAGTAGAGCCTGTCTTCATCCTGATGCTGTTCCAACAATATTTTTTGAAAGAAAGTAAATAATAAATATTTTAAAGCATATTCTATTTTGAAAAACATGAGTTTTTAAAAAATAATAAACAGTTATTGATAATGTATAATATAAAATTATAATTTTTATTACAGCAATACATCCGTGACATCATTGGAAGAAGAAAATATAACTGTAAAAAAAAAGAACATAGTTGAACAAGAAGAAACGAACAGGTTTTCTTAACTTTTATGTATCTTATATATTTTTTTTAATAATAATGACAGCTTTTATCTATCATATTCTGT